AGAATGTGATCATCAAGCATCACAGCCATTATTTCAAAAATCTCTTCGTGGTGCCATCTATGATCGGTGGTTAACCATTCTTCAGCAATTTAACTTTGATATTAAATATAAACCAGCAGCACAGATGACTGTTCCTGATGCTTTGTCCCGTTGTTTCGATAAAACTGTTAAACATTCCGATCATGTCAATCCATCTGAAGATGACCCTTATTTTCCATATATTCCAGAAGCTGTTCCTAAAATAACTTTGCCCGGTGGTGTAGATTTTCGAAATTTGTTTTGTGCGGATTCAAATGCTGAATGTAATCGTGTTTTTGTGGATTATACTGATCAAGACCCATTATATGATGCTGACACAGAAGATTGTGATATTGATGAATTTTTAGTTAATAATGTGCCTTCCAATTATGAACAATGTGCTGCAGTACATAATTCATGTATTCCTTCAGACACTTGTGAAACTAGTGATAATCTAACTCATTTCATGCCGTCCACTACCGACTGTTGTGATATAAACTTTAGTGATTATATACCTGTCAGCTCAACTGATACCGCACCTATTGATTCTATATCAGTTGAGAGTATATTGTTAATGAAACATTTTAATTTTAGTCTTTCAGCTATGGCTGAATTACAATATAGTGATCCATTTTTAAAGCATATTATAAATTATCTTGTTAAAAATGTTTTGCCTGATTCTCAGTCTCAATCTAGACGATTAATTGTTGAAGCCAAAGATTATATTTCATTCTAGAACTGCAATATCTAAACGTTCCAAAACTTTAAATTGTTATCAACTTGTTGTGCCTTATGTCTTAGTTCAAGAACTTTTACTTTTATACCATGATTCTCCTTTAGGTGGTCATGGGGGGATACAGGATACTGTTGACCGCATTAAAGAGTCTTATTATTTTCCTAAAATGAGCACCCTTGTCTCTGACTATGTTAAGTCTTGTCATGCTTGTCAAAGTAGAAAGTTAACTAAAGCACATACCAAAACAGCCATTGTTGCATATCCTACACCACATGCTCCATTTGAAGTTTGGGAAGTAGATCTTTATGGGCCTTTACCTAAAACCCCTAAAAGAGATTGTTATGTATTCACCGCTGTTGATATGTTCAGTAAGTTTTTAGTTTGTTATCCAATTGCTAATACTGATTCCATAACTGTTAGTTCAGCACTCTTTAATTTATTTTCTAACTATGGTGTTTGCCATACGTTAATAAGTGATAAAGGTAGAGAATTTATTTCTAAATGTACATCTGAAGTTTGTAAACTTTTGTCAATACCTCAACAATTTACTCCTAGCTTTATGCATCACTGTTTAGGAGCTTGTGAACGCTTACACAGAACTTTGGCTGAGCGGTTAACTCCTTATGTGTCAAAAAGTCCTTGTTCCTGGATTGATATGTTACCTGCAGTTGTTTTTTCCATGAATAATTGTGTTAACTCATCTTTGGGGTTTTCACCTTTTGAAATCATTTATTCCATGCGTCCAAAATTTCCTTTAGCTAATTTTTCAGATAGTTCTCGAGAAACTATACCAAGTGATATTAAGACATTTATAAATAATCAATCTAAGAAACTCAACTTCATTCGCCAGCAAGTTGAAAATAATGCTATTAAAGCACATGCTAGAATGTGTGATAGAGTTAATGCTAAAATTAACCCTTTAAACATTGTTATGGTGATTATGTTTATTTAAATGTCTCTCCAAAAGGTCCTGGTCAGAAATTACAAAATAAATATTCAGGCCCTTATGTTATTTATACTATTTGTAGTGACCATATAGTCGATCTTAAAGATCCAACTTCTTCTAAACTTATTCATAATGTCCATTGTGATCGTCTTAAATTGGCTAATATCAGGTCACCTAACCCTTCTTCTTATTTTCCTGGGAGTGTTATCACAAACATTAATCAGACTGTACCAGAGCAGTCAGACTCTGATTTACCCAGTGAGAGTATTTTACAGCCTAACCAAACTTTAAGTCAGCCCATTACTACAGATGGGTTACCTACACCTTGTAAAGACTCTCATAATATTCAACGTGACTCTTCAAGTCCCACTATGTGTAGATCACGAATCCCTGTTCCAATAAAAGACATTCAACCCTCCCAAAGTGGTGTTCGTAGAAGTGTGCGTTCCAGACGTAAACCTATTAGATTTCGTGATGCAGCAGTGGACTGTAGTAGTATTTCGCATAATAGTGACTCTGATGGTGGTTTTCATAAAATCCAACGTGTGTTAGGTCAACGCCTTAAAGGGGCGAAACCAGAATATCTTGTTCAAATTCGTGGTGAACCAGCAGATCAGGCTTTTTGGGTCTCCGGCTCTAAGTTAGACCATCGTGCCAAATTATCAATTCAAATGAAACCACCACCATTCATTTAGTGATAAACATGTGTATATTTACTCATATTGTTTTACTTCTGTATGTATATCATATGCTCGACTTTTTTTATGCAGTGTTATGTTATATTTTTATATGTCTAATTTTTTTTTTATATACGCTCACATGTTGTCTAGCAACCTATCTTCCTAGGATTATTTTCTATAGTTACCTATACATGTAGGCATATATATATATATATATACTGTGCATGTAAGACAGTATTACTTATATCCCAGTTGGATATGCTTTCAGTCTATTTTATTTAATTTTTGTAAATGTTATTATTGCAATACATGTAGTAATGTTTAATGTCTTACATGGCATGTTATCTTATTCATCCATTTATCTCATTATACCTAACTTCATATGTCCATGTTCTTGTTGTTTTCCCACACAATATGTAACTCAGGTGTTAAAGAATATACATGTATATATTTTAATGTCCTTGCTATGAAGGATATTTTTCAGGGCATTGTTGCCAATATTGTCCACTTTTATTATCCTCTTTGTATTTTGTTTGAACTGTTTACATTTATCGGTCTTTCTTTTGTCAATTTTGTTATGTATAGTACTCCTGATTATGTTTCAAGATACTAATAGTCTCAACACAAATCTTTTATCATCGGATTTTAAACAAAATTATTTTGGTTTTTTTTGCCGGCGGGGATGTTATGTATTCACATACATTTTATTATGTGTTGGCCTATTAAAGTGGTATGGCCTTATTAATACGAAATCGAGGTTGAGGAAAGATAACTCTCGAGTCAGGAGTTTTTGTTTTTCTTGCTGTGTCTTTGAAGCGCTCGAATAAGATGTGATTGTGATTTTGCTGTAAATAACTTATGTCTTTGTGTGGTTCTCAGAATACAATTAATGGAGATGATTTTGTGTATTAACTTGTTTGTTCTACCACCATTGTGTTATACCCCCAAATACACAATAATAATATTGTATCAAAAGACCTAACAAAGAGAGACTATAGGCCATTTCTGGACTAACATATGGTTCATATTTATTTCAATAAGTCGCTTGTACGCGTAGCTGTCTTTAGTTGTTGGAGAAACTGGAGGACCAGGAGAAAACCCACAAGGTTGGAAAGCAGGCGATCCTATTGCAATAACTTACAGATTTTAATCATCTATAAGGAAGTTCTATATTGCTATGTACATCAAATTAATAAAATGTCCTCTCTGCTTGAATCCGATTGCCGCCATTTTATAAGCATTCAGAAAGGTTAAAATATGGTGCTGACCCTCTCCAACCCGAGTAACTCGTATCTAAAATTTAGGGGTCATTATTGTTTGTTCCTTCCCCATAAATAGGTCAACTAGCAACCCTTACCTCTCCCGTACTCCCATAAAGAATAATATTACAGCTGTTTCAAATTTCAAGTGTCCATCTGTACTGCCCCCATCGTTTAGGCGACTATTAAAATAATTATGTCTGCTATGTGTTTTAGGACACGATAACCCTGCTTCTACTCGAGTTAGAAATAAGAAACTTACTATGTGTAGGTGTTTGTTAGGTAAATCCTTTCATGGACCTCAAAGATGGGCGTTTTCAACTTATGCTAAGCCGAGATAAGCAATTTTATTGGTCAAGTCCTTGTGATACTATCTTTTGGCCTAATAAAGTGACAGTGGCAAGACCTCATATATCATTTCACTAAATCAAAACTTAAAAAAGTTCAATCATGAGCATTTTCTGGTCAGAGCTTCATAAAAAGATAAAATATGTGTAATGAATTAATTAATAGTCATCTATTTCTTTTGGGACACCAACTTGACTGTTGGCTTGTTAACAATGGTTTTATTAAAGGTCAAAGGCTAAAAAGTACCATAAAATCTAATTCATCAAATTGATGCAGAATTTTTCGTAAAAGAAGCATGCCATTTTTCATGCTGATCGGACTTTTCATATTGACAGAGTCTTAGGCCTTTTTGAGCATCACCCCAAGAACAAGATGATTAGCGCTTTGTGACCAGTTCCTGGTCCAACCAAAGACCGACACCCCGTCCCTATGCAAATTATCCGGATGAAAACAATTGTGGTGGTTAATTTAGTTAGGGCAGCGATTTTGACAGAACTGATAAAGCTCGCAGGAAAAAAGGTCAAGGCTCATTTGGCTGATGCGCAGTAATCCGTACTGGGAACCGTTTACAGCCACCTCACTTCAGAGAGCCAAATTGGCACGGGACTTAGTACGACACGATTATATTTGACCCATTTACACCACCCAAAAATTAACTGTGCTGTGCCTGGCGCCATGCCTGGCATGCTTACAAGTTGTAATGTAGACAGGGTTTAAATAACCCTTTCTGGGTAACGAATCTATAAATTTAACTAATACTTCTGTATTACTGTTGACTAGTTTCAATAGTAGGCGCCGATGAAACTCGTCATAGCTATATCGCAGGTCTAGTCATTACTTTAAGCTGTAAATACAAAACACTCATTAAAGATACATTATGGGAGATTCGATAACGAGTTGGCAGTTCTCACTATAGATAACATTTCAGGCCTAAAGAAAGACATGCAATAGACAGATTTAGCTCTTGCATAATGTATTTTTAATCATAAAAAAATAACTGACAATCACTGATATTTCTTTAATCATATTTATATTCTATATAAACTGTGAAATCTATAATTATACAATATATATATTTATCTATTTTGTGCTACATCTCTAGCCTGTCACCTTCTCCCCAGTCTGTCACCTTCTCCCCAGTCTGTCCATCTTCTCCACAGTCTGTCCGCCTTCTCCCCAGTCTGTCCGCCTTCTCCCTAGTCTGTCACCTTCTCCCTAGTCTGTCACCTTCTCTCCAGTCTGTCCCCTTCTCCCTAGTCTGTCGCCTTCTTCCTAGTCTGTCACCTTCTCCCTAGTCCCTTCTCCCTAGTCTGTCACCTTCTTCCCAGTCTGTCACCTTCTCCCTAGTCCCTTCTCCCTAGTCTGTCACCTTCTTCCTAGTCTGTCCGCCTTCTCCCTAGTCTGTCCACCATCTCCCTAGTCTGTCGCCTTCTCCCTAGTCTGTCACCTTCTCCCTAGTCTGCCCCCTTCTCCCTAGCCTGTTGCCTTCTCCCAGTCTGTCCCCTTCTCCCTAGTCTGTCGCCTTCTTCCTAGTCTGTCCACCATCTCCCTAGCCTGTTGCCTTCTCTCAGTCTGTCCCCTTCTCCCTAGTCTGTCGCCTTCTTCCTAGTCTGTCACCTTCTCCCTAGTCTGTCCCCTTCTCCCTAGTCTGTCGCCTTCTCCCTAGTCTGTCACCTTCTCCCTAGTCTGCCCCCTTCTCCCTAGCCTGTCCCCTTCTCCCAGTCTGTCCCCTTGTCCCTAGTCTGTCGCCTTCTTCCTAGTCTGTCACCTTCTCCCTAGTCCCTTCTCCCTAGTCTGTCACCTTCTTCCTAGTCTGTCACCTTCTCCCTAGTCCCTTTTCCCTAGTCTGTCACCTTCTTCCTAGTCTGTCCGCCTTCTCCCTAGTCTGTCCACCATCTCCCTAGTCTGTCGCCTTCTCCCCAGTCTGTCACCTTCTCCCTAGCCTGTCGCCTTCTCCCCAGTCTGTTCCCTTCTCCCGACATGTCTCCCCAAATGATTTTCCTTTTATATTGGTTAGTATGAGATTTTGTGTTGAATATTTTTGAAGGTGGGGGTAACGGTGGCTGAGTGGGTAAGACGCTGGCTGGCCGAGAAAGTTCATCCAGATTTTCCGGCGTGGTTCCGCCTTGTCTGTGATGCAGGACGGAGGGCCTGACTAACAAGGACAGCTGTCTAGTCGTTTGGATGGGATGAAAAACCAAGGTCCCGTATACACATTGACAGTTGGTATTCGATATACAAGTAGACCGTAGTGCCGCTGTCTGGGCAAAATTTCCCTCATAGCACACTGTATGGCGTGTGCCCGTCTTCATTAGGACAGTTCGTAGCAGAAAAAGTAAGACGTTAAACTCCATTTCATTTTTTTTTAGTTGATAATCGATTTATTGTGTTGTGGTAGATGACCGCAAGATGTAAAAGACTTTTCACCAGTACTTTATTCTCTAGTATGAATCTTTTTATGTTTACGTAGATTACTACCACAATTAAATGATTTACTACAAACATCACAAGTAAAGGGTTTTTGTTCAGTATGAGTTATGGTGTGTCGTCGTAGATGACTACTTTGTCTAAAGGATTTTCTACAAACATCACAAGTAAAGGGCTTGTCGCCAGCATGGGTTCTTATGTGTAAATGTAGACTGCTACTAGTCCTAAAGGATTTTCTACAAACATCACAAGAAAAGGGTTTTTCGCCAGTATGTATTCTAGTGTGTACATGTAGATTACTTATATCTGTAAAAGATTTACTACAAACATCACAAGAAAAGGGTTTTTCGCCAGTGTGGGTTCTCTGGTGGCACTGTAGAGAACCAATTTTTATAAAGGATTTTCTACAAACATCACAAGAAAGGGGTTTTTCACCAGTATGAATTCTGGTGTGTCGCTTTAGATCACCTCTAGTGGTAAACGATTTTCTACAAACATCACAAGAAAAGAGTTTTTCACCGGTATGAATTCTGGTGTGTGCTTGTAGACCGCTACTAGTTGTAAAAGATTTACTGCAAACATCACAAGTAAAGGGTTTTGTCTCAATGTGGGTTCTAGTGTGTGTTTTCAAATCACCCTTTTGTCTGAATGATTTACTACAGACATCACATTTATATGGCCTCTCTCCAGTATGAATCATAATGTGTCTACTTAAACCAGAAGAGTTTGCTAGTGATTTACCACAAATATCACACTTATAGATTTTAACGGAGACAGAATGCTTTGACATTTTCACTTTTTCTCTTAATTCTTCTCTCTGAAAAAAAAAAAAAAAAAAAAATTGGCTTAACCCTTTGGACACCGACGCCCTGAACAATATTAAGCCTATATACATGTACTAGCCTCCTAGGGTAAAAATGGACCTTTTTTTTATATAATATTTATAACCCTAGGACCAGAGTGTCCCAAAACACAGAATACTGAGCAGCCAGTATACTGGCCGCCATGGGTATCTGTTCACTACTGATTATTACCCTGGCTGCTCGGTATTCCAGCCAAGGGGCATCCGGGCCATTCTTTTGGCCGCTCAGGACCAAAAGGTTTAATAATTACTTACACAGTTCAAAAGTTTTATCACTCAAAAACTAACCATAAACCATTCTATATTTTAGGTTGAATAGTTTTATTCACCATGAGTCAGTTGCTCATATCTTTTATTGTTAGATACTTTTATCATAAATTTCATTTTTATATACAGTCCATTATAAATTAAATATATATTTAGGCGACGTTTCAAAGAGTATTCTCTCAACGTTTTCAAGCAAGTATGTGTTATAGTTTATTGTGCTATCCAGTTACTAAATATCTCTAAAAGATTATGTCCTTTTATCATCCGGGTTATCTGCCAATAAACTTCATGTTTATATACAGTCCATTATAAATTAAATATTGTATCAAATTATTCATTTGTTTATCCTGGCCTTAACTAACAGGATATGATCACAATTTAATATGGGTGTATAAAAGGTTGTATTTAATGACAGTCATCCTTTAACTTAATGGGGCACTGATTTTTGTAATGTTAATAAATGGATTATCTCATAAAGTACAATAGTCTATAGTCTCTGTTACAGCTAACAATTATTAACTTTAATCCAGATAATCCATCATGTTTGTCAAGTTATAGTTTATGTTTACAACTTGGATGAATGATTGTATTAATGAGGCATTATTCAAGAGCTAAATCTGCCTACTGTTACATGTAATGCACGTTTCTCCTTAGGTCTTAAAGTTATGTAAATTATAAATCAGATTTAATAACATGCCAAGACCACAATCAACTCTCGATGCAATCGGATGACTCTGTTTTTTTAGGAAATTAGAACAGTTCAGCCATTTAATGATTTCATTTAGAAATGGAGAAGTGAGACTAAGCCTCGAATAACCAGCACCATGGTTAGGATAATAAACAACCAATGCACACATCTGTCAAAAATACAAATAATGAAAAAATAATTTATTGATATTTTTCAACATATTCATTTTCCATTATCTTTTTTTTTAAATGATATCAAATGTGGTTTAAATTCCTACTGTTCTGCTCCAATTGGGCTAATGAAGGCAGGTATATTTTTTAACTATTATAGCAAGAATGGCTAGTTCTTTATCTAAATCTTACATAATGTATCTCACCTACATGTATGAAACAAAACAAAATAGAACAAGCAGTGTTAATCTTTTATTAGCGGTCTCAACAATTGCCCATCAATTAAATAAAACAATTTTAAGACAACTACATGTATCAGCCTCACGTAAAACAGCTCTTACTAATATATCACACAAATTTTCAACAGTCCGAAACCGCATCTGAAGCGTCACTAGACTGAGTTCAAAACGTCAATAGACTGAGTTCAAAATTGCTACCTTTCAGGTTTATTTTGATGAAATATGTTCAATATCTTAGGCCTAAACTTACTCTACCTTCAACGGTAAGAAATCCAGCTATAAAGTCACTTGAAATCTATTGAGTTGTAATCTTGTAAACACCAGTTTCATCCTTTACATCACTACGTACTACAGGACCAATACTGAACCTGATTAAAGTAAAATATTAATTGATAATGTCTATTATATAAAAATTATAATGACCATCCATCATTCATAGAACTTACAATTACAAATTGAAGGAAGTAGTAAATCCATGAAGTTGTGTTATTATGAATATCTTTATTGATAATGTCTATCATATAAATATTATAATACTCCTACTCCTTGTCACGGTACAACCAGGGAATCGAAACCACGCCAGTTAACTCAATGAGACTTTATGATACAGTGCGCACAAGCTATACCATTCACTCATTCAGCCATCCACCCCCCACCCCCCCAACACCAAAAATGAAAGATTAAGCAGTGATATGATAGTAAATCCATGAATTTGTGTTATTCTGAATATCTCACCTTTGCTTTTAGTGTCAATAAAGGATATTATGTTTCTTCATATTTCCTATATTGTATGTTGTCCTCAAGGGAGGTTCTGATGCAATATTGTGTGTCTTGTGTAATAATTGTCATATCGTTATAATTTTTATGTACATCGTTTATATTGTATGCTGTCCTAAATGGATGTTTCGATGCAATAAAATCTTATCTTATCTTATCTTATTTAATTCAACATAAATAATGTATCTTAATCATCTATAATAATGCTAATCAAATACCGGTAAGATACATTAAGATATCAAATGTCTCTGGACTGCTCGATCAGTTGGCCGCCATTTTTTAACATTGGTTGAGTTTTAAATGTGACTTGAACCTTCTCCAACCCGAGTAACTCATATCTGGACTTCAGGTTTCAACATGTATCTGCGAGGGTAGATTATATTCCATAATTCAACGCATCAATACGAAGGTGAAATGGAATTTCTAATTTATCTGACAAGAATGAAGCAGAAGATAAATTACACTTGATAATCGTCACGGCAGTTTATCAAAACCAACTTACAGTCTTTGTCTAGTTGATCCACCATGAGCCGAGAAAGAAGCTCGTGAAATTTTGGCATAGTCTCGGTCATCATTACTAAAATCATTAATATAAACAGCAAGTCTCGATTATCCGCTTTTCTTGATTTAATTGTCAATGGCCGTTAGCGGCATATAGGAATCATCCAGCCAACATCGAAGGCTAGCCATGACATCGAGAGTTTAATATGGTTTGGGTAAGTTTATTAATGTCTAATTGATAATTTAGATAACATTTCAGGCCTAAAGAAAGACTTGTAATAAGCAGATTTTGCTCTTGCATAATGCATGTTTAATTAGCCTGTACTAAAATTTAGAGAGAGGGTGTGGGGTGGCAAGGGTTAAAAATGCTAAAATACAGGCCTTAATACGACATTCTAGTTATCATGTTATACACCACTGGAAAGTATGTTTCTATAGCTCTTTGAATCTATCAGTTATTTCCTGGCACATTCACAATTATGTACTTTTGAGAAAGAAAACAATATCAAAACATTTTAGACTACAACATAATTAGTTCATTATACTAGAATCATTGGAGTGGAACAGGCACTTCTATATACAGGACCCTGTTTCACGAAATCTTTAACTAAAGATAAAATCCAAATTTTAGTAGATATTTCAATTTTGATTGCTAAGCACTAAAATCAGTCTAATATTATTCAATCAAATGAGTAAAATTTGGATTTTATCTTAGTCAAAATTTCGTGAAACAGGCCCCAGGACAATAGGATACACATCTGGTACATTGGTTATAATAGGTTTATTATCAGGACAACAAGATACACACAGGGTATAATAGGTTTATTAACAGGAAAATAATTTACACATACAGAATAATATACATTATACGGGTGCCTTACCACCAGGAGGTCAATGGTTAAAGTCTTTTACAGAATCTATATATATATAAACCACCTGTTTAGGTGACGTAGCTAGATATATACATGGTATAGTAGATTATAATCTGATAGTAGATACATACATATATATTCTTATCCCTGTTGGGGGGGGGGGGTGGATGGCTGAATGGTTAGCACATGCGCGCTGTACCATAAAGTCTGTCATTGAGTCAACTGGTGTGGTTTCAATTCCCCGGTTGTACGTGACAAGGAGTAGGGTCGCCTGTCCAAACTCATGGGTTTTCTCCGGTTTCCTCCCACTGCTAAAGAACCCTACGCGCAAGCGAATTATTGAAATAAAATTAAACCATATGTTAGTCCCGAAATGACCTACATAGTTTGTGTCGAGTGGACGTTAAACCCTATTTCTCTCTCTCTCTTATCCATGTTAGGAAACAAGACTACTACTATGATGAGTTCTGATGTGTACATGTAGATTACCCTTAGTGGTAAATGATTTACTACAAACATCACAAGAAAAGGGTTTTTCTCCAATATGGGTTTTTGTGTGTTCCTGTAGAAGACTACTAATACGAGTAAATGATTTTTTACAAACATCACAAGAAAAGGGTTTTTCTCCAGTGAAATGAAATGAAATGAAATGAAATGGAGTTTAACGTCCTACTGTTCTGCTCCTAACTTGGGCTAATGAAGACGGGCATACGCCATACAGTGTGCTATGAGGGAAATTTTGCCCGGACAGCGGCACTACGGCCTACTCTTATATCGAATTCCAACTGCCAAGGGATCTTTTACGTGCACGCCAATGTGTACACGGGACCTCGGTTTTTCGTCCCATCCGAACGACTAGACAGCTTTCCTTGTCAGCCCCTCCGTCCTGCATCACTGACAAGGGAGAACCACGCCGGAAAATCTGGATGAACTTTCTCGGCCAATGCAGGGATCGAACACCCGACCTCCAGTATGAGTACTTCTATGTTGTTGTAGAGTACGACTAAGGGTAAATGATTTCCTACAAATATCACAAGAAAAGGTTTTATCTCCAAATATCACAAGAAAAGGTTTTATCTCCAAATATCACAGGAAAAGGTTTTATCTCCAAATATCACAGGAAAGGGTTTTATCTCCAAATATCACAGGAAAAGGTTTTATCTCCAAATATCACAGGAAAAGGTTTTATCTCCAAATATCACAGGAAAGGGTTTTATCTCCAGTGTGAGGTCTGGTGTGTGATTTCAAAAATCCCTTGCGAATGTTAAAAGATTTTCTACAAACATCACAAGAAAAGGGTTTTTCTGCAGTATGAATTCTGATGTGTCGCTGTAGATGACTACTACAGGTAAATGATTTACTACAAATATCACATTTATATGGCCTCTCTCCAATATAAATCATAATGTGTCTACTTAAACCAGAAGAGTTTGCTAGTGATTTACCACAAATATCACATTTATATAGATTTTTTGGGAGACAGAAAGCTTTGACATTTTCAGCTTTTCTCCTGATCTTCTCTCTGAAAATCAAAAAAATATATTAATAGCCCTAATAATTAATTATAGAGTTCAAATTTTTCTAGCGAAAACTAACCATAAAACATTACACAATACCTAATTACACACATATCAAAGGCTCACATACAGAGAGAAAGAGGGAGAAATGGGGTTTAACGTCCACTCGACACAGACTAGGTAATTTCGGGACTAACATTTAGTTTAATTTTATTTCAATTATTCGCTTGCGCGTAGGGGTCTTTAGCAGTGGGAGGAAAACGGAGGACCCGGAGAAAACCGACGATGTTAGACAGGCGACCCTACTCCTTGTCACATACAACCGTGGATTCGAAACCACGCCAGTTAACTCAATGACAGGCCTCATGATACAGCACGTACGTGCTAACCATTCGGCCATCCAAAATGATCCAACCCCCCTGTTCCAAAAAGTACAGCGTCATACACCATAATGAAGCACCAATGAATGATAATCCATTAATTATTGGCTGCTATGTCATATCCGAATATTGAATTCAATACGATGGGCTTAAAGAATACTAAATTATAGGTCCACAGATTTACTCAAAATAACCTATATTTTGTATAAAACAACATTTTTATTGTTTTTCTTTCTGTTTATATGTATTACTTTTTTTAAAACAGTTTTTATAGTTTTAAAGTATTTGTTGGTGTAATATACCATAGATAATAGCATATTTTATAATTTTAATGTATTTGTCAGTGTTAATATTAGTAGAGTGTGGTATGGGCTTAAAGTTCACTCATCTTTAACCAGGTCATTTTGGGACTAACACATATTATATTTATCTCTTAAATCACTGGTGTGGAGGGGTCTTTAGAAATGGAAGAAAATCTCTGTGCCTCTGAATCCAGAGAAAACCCATATGGTTAGACAGATTCCCTATCTCCTTGTAAACAACCCTTGGATGCCAACTGCCTCTTAGCTTGTTCTCTGTCCATCTCTTGCTAAAAGTGGGCGTATCTTACATAGCAACCACTTGTTTTATTTGATCTTTAAATAATTACCTTCCACGATCTATCAATGTCAATCACCTTACTTCTTGTCTTGTACAAGTCGATCAGTACAGAGTTCAGAATTATGGGATCCAACCATCAGTCAGACTTGAGAATTACTCTGGCAGTATTAAATTAACGTTACTCGGATAATCAATGTAGCCTCTAGGATGTCCTCAAGGAATTGTGAATACCATAAATAAATACAGTATAGGCATCCTCAAACCAGTTGTCGACGAGGGATAGACGAAGACAACGACGACAACGTTGGCATTTACAGCTTTTATAAAAAAATTTAATTAACAGAAAACAAAAATTGTTGAAAATCAACAGGCTTCTTCATTCAATGACCTAAACCAATGTGTATAAATTATATATGATAACATTAACAGGAACCTTCTTCCCATCACCATAAACACTGGGTATTGATAATATTTGGGAGAATACAACTGCTTAATTTTGTGTTAAGATCCCTTAAAATTGTCTACCTAAGGGCCGAGAAACTAACTCAATATTTGTGATACGTTTTCAAACAACTTGAACCCGTCAGTCTTCATCTGGAAATGGAGACCAGTGTGCCAAGCTGTATTATGCGGTGTCTGGATAACGCTTTTATAAAAATAATGTGTAGGTAAAATTTACCTTTCGTTATCAAGTACATCACATGGGTCATTCACTGTATAGACCTCTAAAGGAACAGGAATCGATTATCAGGTCACCCAACGAAAAAACTTGACACAAAATCTTAAATAGGTTACCTGTCCAGATTAGCAGTTTTGACATACACGTCCAAATGACTCAATATTTTGGGCGGATAGCTTGAGACAAGGTAAATACTCCATTCCTCAATATTTTGGCTCTTAAATTTCATACGTACTCAAGACTTTTATTTTTGAGACTGTGTTCAAATCTGGATAGTTTCTTTAACAAAAAATAAAAAGAGAATATTGAGGTCTCACCAGCTTGTCAGGATTTCATCCTTATGATTGATTGTACCAGCCCTCAGCACACTCGACACATTTTGTCTTTTCTGTCTGTACCCTGTGTTGCCAGACTTTACCGATCAGTAATTCTAATCCATAAAATTATGACCTGTATATATATATTCCAGTTCAATTACTGAATGCCAATGAAACATTAAATATTTACTGTGGATTACTTTGCATTCAGAAACCCAAACAGTGTTCAGAATTAAATATATGCAGTGATAATAGCAGCCAAACAAATATTTAGGCTACTGACTGTGCATCACTTTGCATTCAGAAACCCAACTCCTATCTGGTAGGATGAAATTTAGTTTAGATTTGAACTCATATGATTTATCTCTTTGATGCAATACTATTATAATTGATAATATAATTTGAATACAATGTTATTATAAATAATATCAAAACTATAATAAATGATACTACAATTTGAATACAATTAACTAGGACAAGACTGGAATAGATATGAGTTACTCGGGTTGGAGAAGATCCAAGTCATATTTGAACCTCACCCAAGGTCAAAACTAAAAAAATGGCGACTGATTCCAGCAATCAAGAGATGTGCTATTTTATTCAATTGATATAAGGTACCTGATTAAAAATTCATTATATATGATTAAGAAGCATTATTTAATGTTTAATTAAGTTTGAAGAAACACAGCAAATGGTTTAAATAAAACAAGTAACGTAAAAGATGCACCGGGCGTCAACTGGGGCTACTTTGACTTTGAGCAGTAGTGGGGCAACTTTGAACATTTTTCAATATATTGGTTGGGCATTTTATGCTCTATTTATTTGTTCATATCATATAAATAATGCTTACTTTAAATAAATATACATCTTAGATGATATAAAAAAAAAAATGATTCGCATTTGATGACTTGTTAATCCCATCATGCAACTGTGGCATGTCTATTCATGTCAACTTATTAGGTCAAATGTATAGCCTGTCAACTTTATACTAGAAATCTTTAAGTATACACCATTTAACATAATCACTTCATTTATATATGTAGATAAAACATATTTGTTTAATTTCAAACAGGTATTTTATGCTTTTGAATAAAAATAAAAATTTAAGTACAAAAATACTGATAATAACACCATTTTTAAAAGAGCTAAATCGCTAATATTTTGGACCTATAAATTGGCACAAATGGGTCGCAACACATATAATAATGTAATATGAATTTATATAAACAGTTTCACATTCATTTGTGTCCGTTTTACTGTGAATTGTCATCAGTTATGTTTGGCGAAATACGGCAGAAGTCTCAACCGCAAGTCAATTTCTAGCGTCTGGTTATTCCAGTCAACACCGATATTATTTATTGCGCATGCTCTCCAAAATAAGAATATGATATCACCGTTTGACATGACTTGTGGAATATGTCTAGCCTCATTCTTTGAGCACCTTGTTACAAATGGCGCTGAAACGCATTATGGTACACGATTTGTGTACCAATGGTAAAATGTTTATTTTGTGTTGAATATTAGATATCAAAAGCCCATCTTTTCTAGGTAAGATCACAACACCAATGCTGATTTAAATTGCAAAAAAATTCGTGTTTTCAATGTCGAAGATTTTGGATGATATTGAGTTATGGACTTGGCTACATTTTTAAAGTAAAATGGGGCAACTTTGAAAATGTACAACATCTCCCCAAAGACATTTATTCACAACATTTGTTATGTTTCTTGCATTTGATTATCTCTAACAAATGAATTTACTGTTGCATTTTGATAGATTTATTAAATTTTCATTAATGTATCGAATGCAATTTTATGAACCGTTCAAAGTAACCCCACTTATGAGGCAACATTGAACACCTAAATTTTTTGTCTTGAAAATTGAAAAAAATAATATTTTTAAACCAAAACTTTTTCTTATTTTGTTTAAATGTTAATTCTATAAGTATTTTGATGTATTTAAATTTTTTTGAATGGAAATTTATGTGTCGTTCAGAGTTACCCCACTGGCGAGGCAAGATTGAACACCCACATTTTTTTAAAAAAAATGAAAAGTTAAATTCCTAAACCAAAATAAACCTGAATTTATGATAAAACTTTATCTTTCCCATGAATTATAGCTAAAAAAAGCAATTAAAACTATATAATAGCTTGGCAATTATTAATAAATGAAAAAAAAATGTTCAAAGTAGCCCTGTTTCATGGCATTATGTAAGATTTAGATACAGGAAATGTATCTAGCATCGTCGTTTGCAATTATACTTCAAAAATGAAATATGAATATAATTGTTCTGAGCAAAGTTATATATATTTAAAGTGGGGTAGACTAATCACTGGAATTCACTTATAAACACTGGAATTCACTTACAAACACCAGAATTCGCCGGAAATCACTTTGAAGATATCGGAATTCGCCCTTAAGACCTCAATAATAATAATAATAATAATCTATTTATAAAGCACTGAATATCTAACAAACGAGTTGCTCAAAGCACTGAATATCCAACAAACGAGTTGCTCAAGAGCTCTATACTAATTCCTATTCACAAATATTTTGCATTAATAATAAACACCTAAAATTACCGAAATTCACATCAAAACCATATAAACACCGAAATTCACCTTCAAAATATCAGAATTCAAAATACCTTCCTAATTACTAATATTTTACATCAATAATAAATTACTTTAAAACACTTTGAAAACATATAAACACCGGAATTCGTACTTAAGACCTTCCTATGTAATATTTTGCATTAATAATAAATTACTTCAAAACACCGGAATTCACTTTGAGAGAATCAGAATTCGCCCCCTAAACAATTGCATTTACTGACATATTGCATTAAATCCTCCCACAAAACTAATTTATTTTAAATTCATAATACATATTAATATCTCCACAGACCCGATGAAGGTGTTGTAGGTGTATTTATTTGAAAGACTACCGGAATTCATTTTAAATATATGTATATGATAGTTATAACGTATGTCACATTGTCTAATGAATAACTATTTGATCTTTCCACAGATTACCTAAAATACACGCCCACACACAATAATGTTATGGGTTTCCCCTCTCTAGTTATTATTATCCACTGGAATTCACTTGAAAATTCCGATATACGATACGTGTACACCGTAATATAAGATATGTGTACAATGGTTAGCGTGCGCGCGCTGTATCATAAAGTCTGTCATTGAGTCGACTGGCGTGGTTTCGAATCCCCGGTTGTACGTGACAAGGAGTAGGGTCGCCTGTCTAACCTTGTGGGTTTTCTCTGGGTCCTCCGGTTTCCTCCCACTGCTAAAGACCCCTATGCGCAAGCAAATTATTGAAATGAAATTAAACCATATGTTAGTCCCGAAATGACCTAGTTTGTGTCGAGTGGACGTTAAACCCCATTTCTCTCTCTCTCCAACCTTGTGGGTTTTCTCCGGGTCCTCCGGTTTCCTCCCACTGCTAAAGACCCCTATGCGCAAGTGAATTATTGAAATAAAATTAAACCATATGTTAGTCCCAAAATGACCTAGTTTGTGTCGAGTGGAGTTAAACCCCATTCACCTCTCTCTCTCTCTCTTTCTCTCTCTCACTCTCTCTCTAAGTCAACACCCAAACCTGGTTAGTTAGTCAGTGCCTTGCTCAGTGAACCATCATGGTTCCTTCCCCTGACCTCTTTAAAGTTTTTGTATGGAGTACCATCACAAACATCATCTAGATTAAAAAAATACATCTAGGGCCTATACGAAAAATAATAAATACAACATCACAATTCTCTTGACACTTGTGTTATGTTGAAGGGGCATTATTAGATTAGATAAAGAGTTCTCGCTACTATAATAGTTAAAAAATAGATAACGTAAATAGAATATGCCTAAAATTTCAGTCAAATTGCTCAACTCTGAACAGAGATATTAGCTTTTGAATTTTAGGCCTAGCCTATCAGTACAATAAAAAAACAAAGTCTCATTTATTCAATTTGATGTTTAAATATTTTTCGTATATATTTTGGCATATGTATTCCTTGTACCTTAGAGACGGCAACTATTGAGCTTGGTGAATGATCCATCTCGCTTGAATCACCCAATTTTTGTTAATACTTTGTTTGTAAATAATCTACAGGTGGGAATTATTAACAGATTTGGATCCTCTGGCATGATCCATCATAGGGTTGTACATATTTATATTGTTCCATGTCCAACCCCCAGACATAACCACACCCAATTTATGTCTTGTTTATCGTCTACAGGCTGTAATTCTGAATAGATTATTTTCAAACTTTGTATATTTATTCCGTATACCGACAGCAATTATTTATTTTGATGCATGCTCTGATCCCCAGGAATGTGGACTGTACCAATGCTCTTGTCTCACCTGGAATAGGGGTATCACGTGGCTAAGTGGGTAAGATGCATTGGCTGAGAAAGTTCATTCAGATTTTCTGGCGTGCTTCCCCCTTGTCAGTGATGCAGGATGGAGGGCCTGACAAGGACAGCTGTCTAGTCGTTCAGATGGGACGAAAAACCGAGGTCCCGTGTACACATTGGCATGCACGTAAAAGATCCCTTGGCAGTTGGAATTCAATATAAGAGTAGACCTTAGCGGCGCTGCCCAGGCAAAATTTCCCTCATAGCACACTGTATGGCGTATGCCCGTCTTCATTAGCCCAGGTTAGTAGCAGAACAGTAGGACGTTAAACCCCATTTTATTTTATTTCACCTATTTAAAATTGAAAGGTTTATGGTTAATTTTGAGAAAAATAATTAAACAGTGAAATTAATTAATGGTTTTGTTTTTTTGTTGTTTTTTTTCAGAGAGAAGATTCGGGTGAAAATGTCAAAGCATTCCACTTCCAATAAAAAATATAAATGTGATATTTGTGGTAAATCACTAAGAAACTCTTCTGGTTTAAGTAGACATATTATGATTCATACCGGAGAGAGGCCATTTAAATGTGATGTCTGTAATAAATCATTTAGTCAGAAGAGCCATTTAAATACACACACCAGGATCCATACTGGGGAAAAATTCTTTACTTATGATGCTTGTAATAAATCATTTACCACTAGTAGTGATCTACAACAACACACCCGAACTCTTACTGAACAAAAACCCTTTTCTCGTGATGTTTGTAGTAATCATCAACAGGAACAAATCAGAATTCATACCAGAGAAAAACCCTTTTCTTGTCACTTTTGTAGGAGACCATTTACTCATAGAAGTTATCTACTGCTACACACCAGAATCCATACTGGCGAAAAACCCTTTTCTTGTGATGTTTGTAGTAAATCATTTACCCGTAGAAGTCACCAACGGTTACACATGAGAATTCATACCGGTGAAAAACCCTTTTCTTGTGATGTTTGTAAAAAATCATTTACCACAAACGGCGATCTACAGCAACACATTAGATCCCACACAGGTGAAAAACCCTTTTCTTGCAATGTTTGTGATAAATCATTTACCACTAGTAGTCTTTTACTACAACACACAAAAATTCATACTGGTGAAAAACCCTTTTCTTGTGATCTTTGTGATAAATGTTTTACCACTAGGAGTAGTCTAAACCGACACACCAGAATTCACACAGGCCAAAAATCATATCAATGTGATGTTTGTAAAAAATTATTTAGCCGTAATAGTCATCTACAGGAACACACTAGAATTCATACGGGGGAAAAACCCTTTTCTTGCGATGTTTGTAGTAAAACATTTGCCGCTAGAAGTAATCTACAACACCACTCCAAAATTCATACTAAAACCAAAACTGAAGAAAAACATTTATCTTGTGTCAATAATCTTTAAGTGGCATTTAGTGATTGGGGTACAAAATAACAGAACACAATTTTTATGGGAAACAATCACTGTTTCCCATAAAAATTGTGTTCTGTTATTCTGATGTCAAGTTTACGATGTGTACAGAAGAATTTTATTAGTTTGTTATAAAGTATAAACTATAAATAAAGAATATTTTTATTTATCAACTAGTCCGTCATTTGAAGATCTTTTTATAGATGTTATTATTGTTAAACTATTTGTTATACTTCATGTTTTCCGTCCCTGGTCTATCAATGGTAATCACCTATATATACTAATGTCCAAAAGAAAGTATACACTGTGCATTTTGTCCTGCTTCAACCAAAGTCATTTTCCCATTGTATGCAGTAATTAGGTACAATGTCCATTTGTTTTGCCTTTTATTTGCTTAGAAATATTGAGTTTGGACGCACGAGACATGTTCAGTGTAGTTTTATTACATTTTTTTGATTAAAACAAAACTTAGTCATACTTTAAGTGTGTATACTTTCTTTTGGACATTAGTATATTATCTCTTAATATGTAATTAAGGGCTGGGTTGGGATCTTGAGATGTGAGAGAAAACCCACACGCTTAGACAGCCGACCAGTCTCCTTGAACTCATGACTAACATACATGACATCAATCTGTTTCACAGAGAATTACGAGTCTCGTAAAATATCTCTGTCATAGATGACTGCCTTAACACGTGCTGTCACAGCACGCGGTGTGAATCGTTGGCTGAATGGCGCGTGCATTGTTTACATAAGACATAACTGCTTCGGAGAGAATGCTGCATTTTAGTCATTTTAATACCCATTTACACTAAATCGGAAATAATTTTTAACTACAAATACGTAAAACGCCTTTATTTATTTTTCCAATATATACAAAAAATGTTTTAGAATTTAATTTGTCGCAGGAAAAAAGTTAATATTTCTAGCTCATTAAGCCGCATCAATGTCATCCTTATCAGTGATTGCGGATCAGTGTGACATGACATGCCTTACAATAGAACCCTTTTGTACACTTTGATGTGCATAGGTCCCGGATAGTCAGATTGCCTCGTACAAGCCCATCGATACAGAGTTCAGAATACAATTTGTAAAATTGAGATGGGGTTTATTGTCCATTTAACATTAAGTAAGTGATTTTGGGACTAACATGGGATCATTTTATTACTTTAATAGTTTCTGCTCAGGAGTTATTTGAAGTTGAAGAAAATGGAACAAGAGAGAGAAATGGGGTTTAACGTCCACTAGACACAAACTAGGTCATTTTCATTTCAATAATTTGCTTGCACATCGGGGTCTATAGCAGTGGGTGGAATCTGGAGGACCCGGAACAAACCCACGAGGATGGACAGGCGACCCTATTCCTTGTCATGTACAACTTGGGTATCGAAACCACGCCAGTTGACTAAATAACAGACTTTATGATACAGCGCGCATGCTAACCATTCGACCATCCAACTCTCCTGAAGAAAATGGAGTATCTACAGAAAATTCAAGAGGTTAAGACCAAACTGTGCCAAAGTCTTCTTTTATTGTTCTGCATACAATGATAAAGGCTTGGATTTATTAGGGCATGGGGAGGGGGGGGAGAATTGTCACCTTTTACTGTGCTGTATACGATGATAAAGGCTTGGATTTAGGGCCATAGGGTGGGGTGAGAATTATCACCTTTCACATACCATTCTTTATACCCATTAACACTGAATATGAATTTTTTTATCCAGATATACTTCAACTGTCTTTAATTATTTTCTTATATGCAAGAAAACTAAGTCCTCCGATCAGCAGCTAAATCATTATGAGCTGTCAACAGGAGGTGTCGCATAGTTATTGTTTTGTAGCTAATTGGAGCATTTAAAAGCTCTAAAAACTGATCAAGACTAACAACCCATAAAGTAATGATCAGAAATAATTAAAATTTTGATGGCTTCTTGTTCTTCAAGATTCTTACATTCATTCTTACAAGGAGTAGGGTTGCCTGTCCAACCTCGTGGATTTTCTTCTGGTCCCACTGCTAAAGACCTCTACACGCGAATTCTTGAAATAAAATTAAACCATGTGTTAGTCCCCAAATGACCTAGTTTGTGTCGATTGGACGTTAAACCCCACTTCTCTCTCTCTCTCACATTTCAATGTAGGCGTATAAAAATATGATAAAATCAACAAGACCCGTCTTCCCATGGGGGGTTGGATACTATATCATACGGCCTGTCATTGAGTCAACTGGCGTGGTTTCGAATCCCCGGTTGTACGTGACAAGGAGTAGGGTCGCCTGTCCAAACTCATGGGTTTTCTCCGGGTCCCCCGGTTTCCTCCCACTGCTAAAGACCTCTACGCGCAAGCGAATTATTGAAATAAAATTAAACCATATGTTAGTCCCGAAATGACCTGGTTTGTGTGGAGTGGACGTTAAACCCCATTTCTCTCTCCCCGTCTTCCCATAGCCATAAACACTGTGTATAAATTTAATCGGATAATCACTTTATCCTCTAGGGTTTCTTCAAGCAATTGTGAATGCCATAAATATATACAGTAGGCATCCTCCAACCAATTGTGAACAAGGAACAGATGAAGATGACAACAATATACGATCACATTTTAGTGAGGGGCTGGGGCGCATACATATTTTAAAACAATTCCATTAACAGTAAATAAAAAGTTAATGATGAATTATGTAAGATTTAGATAAAGAGCTGGCCATTTTTCCTATAATCATTCAATAATTGATAACCATTCAATGTGGGCGCATACATATTTTAAAAAGAATTCCATTAACAGAAAATTAAAAGTTAACGATGAATTACGTAAGAATTAGATAAATGAAATGAAATGGGGTTTAACGTCCTACTGTTCTGCTCCGAACTGGGCTAATGAAGACGGGCATACACCATACAGTGTGCTATGAGGGAAATTTTGCTAGGACAGCTGCACTACGGCCTAGTCTTATATCAAATTCCAACTGTCAAGGATCTTTTACGTGCATGCCAATGTGTACACGGGACCTCAGTTTTTCTTGCATCACTGACAAGGGGGTAACGATGCCTGAAAATCTGGATGGACTTTCTCGGCCAGTGCAGGGATCGAACAACCGACCTCCAGGCTAGCGAGCCAACATCTTACCCACTTAGCCACCGTTCCCCCCCTCCAAAGATTTAAATAAAGAGTTGTACGTTCTTGCTATAATAGTTCCAAACTAGATAAAGAAAATGAATAATTAATATATTGAAAATTGCATTCACATTACTATATTCTGAGCTAGCTCATAGACGTAGGTGGCCAATCTGAGTTGGGGGGAAGGTGGGTGGGTGGGAAATCGGTCACTCCGTCGGAAATGCACATGACGAATATGATAGAATGTATAATATCGTTTTTCCAAGGGTGACTGGGGGGTTGGATGGCCGAATGGTTAGCACGTGCGTGCTGTATCATAAAGCCTGTCATTGAGTCAACTGGCATGGTTTCGAATCCCCAGTTGTACGTGACAAGGAGTAGGGTTGCCTGTCCAACCTCGTGGGTTTCCTCCGGTTTCCTCCCACTGCTAAAGACCCCTACGCGCAAGCGAGTTATTGAAATAAAATTTAAAAAAACCCAACCATATGTTAGTCCCGAAATGACATAGTTTGTGTCGAGTGGACATTAAACCCCATTTCTCTCTCTCTCTCCAAGGGTGACTGATGTACCTTAAAAATACAAATAACCTCCCCTTAAGGTCACTCTCCCAAGTGGTCTGATCCCTATAAAACCCTACATGACTCATGTCCTTTACTAGTCAACATTTATCGTGCAAGCTAAAACAAAAATCAGATTTTAACCCAAAATGACACGTTTGACATCAGGAATGTACAGAATACGAAAAAATATAGAAATGTGATACGAGTTAGTTGATTTGTGTCACTCATTACATCGCCATCTTTATGTGTCTCGAAGGATTGCTTTGGGTGAATTTGGGCAAATCGTGTCACTTTTATACACCTTAGCGAGATGTGTTGGATAACTTACAAACAAGGTCAACAAAATAAACAACAAACAAAGAAATATCAAACATAAAGTCTGTTTATTTTGCAATATAGGTTATATTTTAATATCTTGTACTTGTTTGGGTCTAGTTGTTTTCATGAAGTACTTATTAATATACATTATTGTAGTTTTTGGTTTAGATGAATATATTGTTGGCTTAGAATTATATTTTATAAAGAAAGTACTAAACAGCATTTAATTACAGAAGTGTATAAATATTACAATCTAGTTTATTATGTTAAATATTGAATCTACTAATAGTTGCTCGCTGTACAGTAGTGGATATAGATAGCATAACATAAACTAGTTTGCTTAAGAAAACCTACAAAATGATTCTCCACATTTAACACCTGAAAAATACAAAACATGGTTTATATATATTATCAATAAACAAGCCTTCATGAAACTCGTTCCTGGTCATAAAATTGCCTTACTGTGTCTATAAGAAAACAAGATTCATTGGAAAAGCAATATGTTTTACATTATAATGTTAATCAAGTAAAGTTTAATGGATTGAAACAGGTGTTTGACGATGCCATGTTGGTTCAATGACAATGGCCGAATAATCCCTGTGTTGACCAAAGACTGAGTTTACTAAAAAAAACAAAAAACAACATGACATGTTATTACATCATTTTTTTCCAAACGTGATTATATCTAATACGATAAAGATACGTTATGGGAGATTAGATATCGAGTTGGCAGTTCTCACTATTGAACTGAGAATTAAGCAATTGAAATTTCTGCATAGCCTCGATCATCATTACTAAAGTCAGTATGATAAACAGCAGTCTCGATTCTCCATTTAATCGTTAAATCGTGAAGGAAAGTTATGCAGTAAATCGGCTCATAATCCACTAAAACTCGCAGGCTGCCGATGCCATCGAGTGTTGATTATGGTATGGATATATAGGTTAATTAATGTCTAATTAATAATTTAGAAAACATTTCAGGGCTAAAGAAAGACCTGCAATAGACAGATTTAGCTCTTGCATAATGTATGTTTAA